ATTTCACTGCTATAAACGTTTCAAAAAAAAGAAAGCAGAAAGTGTTAGGCTGTTTCAAATGCAATGGCGTGAACAGAGAAGCCCTTCTGTGCCACCCAAGCCTGACTCTGCTGCTGTAAACTGGCACAGTGATTCTGAGCACAGGTAACAACCATCCAACCTCAGTATCTCCCAGGCAAGATAGTGACAATGTTCTGGAATTGTTTGGAAATCAATAAAAAGTATTAAAATACAAAACCTATCACCAAAATTAAAAGTCTCTGCAGACAGGAAATTGCTTCAAAATATAGTGATAATACTTTCTATTCAATTTACACTTACTGGCTAGGCACCTGCCTTCAATATTTTGTCACATAGGAAACCGCAGTCTTGATATTATAAAAAGAAAATATTCTCTTTTTAAAAGCACTGCATGATGGAAGATAGGGTTTTTTTACAATTATCCCTTTGCAATACTTCTGTCAGGTATCATTAGTGAATCTGTCATATCACTAGATAACCCTTCAGCACACGAATAACTGAGCTCTTGTATTACTGCCTCATCCTTCTGACAGAAGGGTACAAACTAATCTTTTGTACCCTGTCATCTTCCCAGAAAGCACATTAAATAGGGTTCAGTGACCCTGATAAATTTAAGTTATGTACTACAGCAGAACATTCAGGGCTTTAGGAAAAAGGCTTGGTCTTTGTCTTCAAAACCTGATCTAGGAGATAGCCAGTAGCAGACTTATGCTGGTGTTTGGCAACATTGGGAACAAAAGCTGCAACAGACAACTGCTCCTTCTAAGTGCTGTCACCAACAGGTTACCAAACATATGAACCTGCTGTAGGAGTGATTCTGACAGGACCCTTCGAAGCTGCTGAAGAGACTCCTTCCAAGTCTTGAGAATGAAATGGGGCACAGACCACATTAGCCTTAATACAAAACTCACCCACACCTTAAACCGAGACTACTATAGTAACATAAAATGTCAAATTTGGGAAAAAAAAAACAACAAACCAAAACTAACAAAAAACAAAAAAACCCTTCCAACACCAACCAAGTTTTGCCAGCCATGTGTCACTGCTGCAAAGCTGTGTGTGTTTTGGTTTTGGGAAGTTTATACTTCCCCTTATTGCCAAGTTGAAGGCAAATACACATCTTATGCTCATCTCTCAGACATCACCTCAGCTACCACCATTCGCTAACAGCAAAACAAGATTCAGTTTGCATCCTCTTCCCTCAAAGCAAATCACTGGCACGCTGGAAAGTATTTATAAGTGAAACCAATATTACCTATCAGCCCTCTCTTCATAGAGGTCTGTGCTGTTCACAAATTAACCAAAACCCAAACAAAACCAGCCCAAGACCGCAAGCAAAGGAAAAGCCCACCACACACAGACACGTGCCTCAGGCACACGGGCAGCACACCAGTGACTAACGCCAGCCCTGAGCTCCAAAGTCCATTTCTTACCCTCCTTTAACGCTGTGATTTATTTTATAATTATGTCCAGAAACACAAAAAGCATTTTATCCCCCTGAGGCGACAGCACAGCAGAGTCCTCGAAGCTTTCCAGGAGTTCTACAAGTGACATGGTGATTCCCACTCACGTGGTGGGCGTGGGCAGCATCCTCATCCCCGATTCCTTCCCAAACACAAACTCACAGCAGCTCCCCTGGGTCCGATGCTCTCTGTTGTCATGACAGCGAGCCCCCAGCTCAATTCTCTGTTTTGCCATCATAAGCTGTTCTTTATAAAACTTTGGATTTGCTTCCTGCAGCATAATGAGCAAAATGTGTCATAGAAAATGAAAACAAATGCTGTAATCTGCAGCAAGAAAAATATTTTCCCATTTGTTACCAGAAATCACTTTATTGTTTGTAGACAAGATGGTTTCTCAACATTAAAAAATGTTTTACCACTAAAATGGTCCATCCATCTCCCTGTCAAAGGCAGATCTATAGCACTGAACTTTAACAATACAAGCATATTTCACTGAGGCAGATCAATGCACACATATTTCACTCAGGCAGATGAATCTAGTTGTTAGCTACGTTCTGAGTGCTGCACATGGGAAAAACTTGGCAAGAGGTGAAAATCCTTACTGGATGTAGAATTACAGAGACTATTTATTCACTGATCTTACCCTCTTCATGTTTTAAAATTTAAAAGCACATAAACCCTTTTCAATAAATATCAACTTAGTCAAAAAAACCAAAAAAAGTAAAAAGAAAGCTTCTACTCAGGATATGACAACACTGAGGGGTTAATCTTGACATTATAACCTTAAAGAGCAGACTATACTCTGAGACTGAGATGACTAAACCGAAGATTGAAAGGACTGCCTGAGGAAAGCAGAAGAAAGTCAAGCACAATGGTAGGGAGAGAGAAAATGACAGAAAGTCATATTGAGAATGGTTGCTTTAGAAAGCAGAAAAACAAAGTAATAGTGAGGATGCTTTAGGCAACCTCCAGAGCTTGTTCTTATGCAAAAGCCAGATATTTCCCCTTCAGGAGCTGAACATGCTCCTTTACATTGTTTCATGAGGCTTTTAGAAGAACCTGACGTACCAAGACTCTCCGAAATGACCTAATAAATGTCGTGTTGGTGTTTGTTGTGCTGCTGAGCTGTCTCAGAGGGATGACACATACAACACAGGGACCAGTCAAGAGCAATAATGTACTTTATACCATTCAGGTTCTACAAGATGAACAGACACAAGCCTCTTGTTTTCAGTTTTCATTTAAACTAACCACAAAGGAACTGTTTGTGAGGATACGCACACTGCAGTTCAGTAAAGAAAACGGAGTGCAGAGCAAAAAAGGCTTGAGTACCACTGCAGCAAAACACAAAAAGACAGCAGCAAGTATGGGCAACAGACATGGTGAAAGATGGGGGTAGGGGATTTCATGTCTCATCACACCACAATCCACAGTGGTCAAGTGGCCCCTGCTGCTGCACCTAAGCAGGCAGACAGCTATTTATACATCCAACCCGTCAGGGAAACACTAAGCTCTACATATCACCATGCTGCTACAGAAAGAAGTCTGTTTCTAAATTATTGATGCTGGTAAAACAGCAAAGGTCAAAGTTTAAATATGCAAATAAATTCTAAGAATTCAATCTGTGAAGATTTTGTGCTGCTGTTTAATAATAAGTCAGAGTAAAATAATGTCATGAGTACATCTGGCCAATGCATGCTGCTCATACATGGACTATCTGTGACAGCCCCACAAATCACTCTGAGACCACGCGGGAACTCCTCTGTTGCTTTGCTGCACGTTCCAGGCAGAGGGACACAGGTGACAGCTTTCTGGAGGCACGGCACATTCACCGCAAGCTCTGACTCAGCTATAGGCTGAAGTTTCCATGCCAACACCTCCCGGAATCAGTGGTATCTGTATGCTGATATGGAGCTGCAGTGCTGATGGGCAAACGCATGAGAATATGGTGATTTTCTTTCAAACTTTTTGAAAAATACTGTTAATTATAAAAACAATTTTTCCAAGTAGCAGCTTATTAAAATCATATGACCTTCCTATTAAACTATAAAATTCATTACCAGGACTTAGACCTTCCTTGCAGCCTTTAGCACAAGACATTTTCAAGGAACAGGTGGGAGAAGGGAATCGCAGCCCCTCGCTCTTGGAGGAGATGATTAAAAGGCCTGTCCGCAGTCCCGGTGCGCTCGGCGCCGAGTTCAGGGGTGACAAAACCAGCGCAGCAGACCCCGCAGGCAGGGGAGCTGAGGCCCGGGCCCAGGGCAGGGGGAAGGGGCGGGCCGAGGACA